GTGGATAACATATCGTTATATATGGTTTTTTTCCCCATAGCCCCAATGCATAGAATGAGACTGTTAAGTCGACCCATCGTTATAACCGATTGATCGTTATATGTGGTATCGTTATAAGTGGACTGCACTGTACTGCCTCTTCCTCGGTTGCACTCTTTTTCATATTTTTGCTTCCTGGGAAAGTCGCCTGCGTGACCTTTTTAGACGACTCTGCTGTTACCTTTCAGATATAACCTAGTGCTTCGTACCCTTCCAATTTATTTCCTCCTTCATCTACCATATGTTGTTGCATTGTGACAGACTTCCTACCTTGAGCACTTAGGTGGCTCCAAAATATTCTAGGTGCGGCCTTCTTCTATTCGCGAATCTCTGTCATTCAGGGTTCACTTCCACCTTTAATTTTTGCCTCGACCAGCTTTCCGCGCAATAGTTTTTTTTTTTCCTAAGTGTATTTACCATGCTTGGTTGACTTCATCCTGTGGCCGCTTCTCCCTTTTTGCCTGTCTGTGCCCCAGTGATGCCTCACGTCCCATCTCGATCGCTTCACAAATTTCTCTGTTCCACCAACTTTTTGACTTTCTCCTCCTTTTTTTAGCGAATAGTTTTCTTGCTTTTTCCATCTTCCTCGTCATTACATTTAACAGCTCACTATACTTCCAGTGGTTGCCCGGTAGTTTTCCTACTTCGTCCTCGACTCTTGCAGCTATATTTGTTATTTGTGTGTCATTTGAATACGAGCTTACAATTTTTGATTCTGTGTTTTCATTTTCAGTTTTGTATCCCATTTGTAATGTTACGCGTTTATGATCATTACCCAAGCTGTTAATGCCTTCCTCGTCTATTCTCATCTCCCTTAAGTTTGTCATAGGTTCCCTCTGTCATAAGACAAGAATTAATGCTCGATTGCCTGTGTCCAACTTCTTACATGATATGCCTTTCACACTTGGGCCCCGCGTTAACTATCTCAAGACAATGTTGCTCGCAGAGATCTACCAACAACCTGCCATTAGTGTCTGAATATCCGTCAAGGTCCTCTATGTGAGCATTCATGTCCCCTAGAAGGATTATTTCGGCCCCATGACCAAATTCTTTGATATCAGTGCGTACATATGCGATTCACCATCTCCAAGTTCTTTTTCCCTTCCAGTTATTCCCCGCCCACAAGTAAGCTACGTCTAGCCACGTTTTCTTTTACCCTACTGTACCCGAAACCCATAGGTGCTCTGAACACATTTGCTTCACTCTATCCCATTTGGCTTTGCTATGAACTAGCATTCCAACACCACCTTTCCTTTCTGATATGCTCCTGTTGCATGCCTTCCAAGTACAGTCAAACCTCAATATATCGAACACGGATGTATCGAATTATTGCCTATATCGAACGGTTCCTATATCACACGGGAAATCGCGTCCATTATTGATTTTTTATTTCGAACAAAGTTTGACATATAATGGATATATCGAACTCGGCCACCCCAAACCGCCCGCGCTCCATTGACAGGCGGCGAGCTTTCCCGCGCGCTGTGGTGCGCGACAGGCCTCACTCCGAACGACGGAACTCACAACGGCGGAGCTCAAGGATGTGGAGATTGTCGCCGAAGCTACTGCTAAGCAGCCAAATGAAGACTCTGCCGAGGTGGATCCCGCAAGCGCTAATGGTGCCCCGCCCCGACATCAGCCGAGGTCGTAGCTGCCTTGGCCCTTGTGCACCACCACTGCGGCGCGATTGAAGGCATTGGCCTATCACTTATGGATTGCCTGGACTATATTGAGGACGCAGTGGTCAAGCACGCCATGGCCAACAAAAAGCAGGCTACTCTTTTTCAATATTTTAAACAAGCACAATAAATACTATGTTTGAATATTCAAGTGAGTATTTACTGCACCACGCTTGAACGGTTTGTTGGTTGTTTTCAGCAAGCTGTTGATGCATTTTTTTCGTGATTTTTTTATATCGAATTCTGGATATATCGAACTATTTCGCGATCGCTGCGCCGTTCGATATATCGAGGTTCGACTGTATAATTCAGAATCTGTGATGGCTCTTCCAAGTCTCACAGGTGTGTTTCTGTAACCGCATACACACCTATCTGTTCCTTGTTTAACTGCTCCTGAATCTCTAACCATTTTGCCCCTTTTCTGTCGCCCTGCATGTTAATGTAACCGATCGCAACACCCGCCTTCTCCTTCTTTTGTTACCTTTTCTCTGGGTTTTTTTTTATACCACCTGTCGAAAATTCCCCCTGGTTGTTTTCCTCGTTACTAGTTATCCGGGACACCGAAGGGTCCGCATGCCTTTTCAAAAAAGCTAATGTGCGTCCTGCAAGTTCCCAACCCACCTCATGACCTAGCCTCCTATCAAAGTGAATTCTGTCTCTTTGAAAACCACCCACCTATACAAAGTGAAATACGGAATAGTTGACTGTGTGACGTCTGAAAGGAGGCGAAGTCCAAGTTCACGTCAAAGTATGTTAACGTTGAAGTGTCTAGTGACTATCACCAGGGCTATTACCGATACTATCACCCCACCAGTACAAAGTGACTACAGCACCGCCGTTGCTGTCACCTGCCGGAGAATCAGCCGAGAAGCGGCACGGCCGCTTCGTTCATTCCACTGTCCCCTTCTAGTACACTGTAGCTTAGATTGAAGGATATTGAAAGATGCACCATTTTTTATTGAGAAAAGCAGTGCAAAACTAGCGCAACCTAGACAGCATTATAGCTGTTAGTAGCCAAGCCAACACCTGGCTTATGTACACGTGAGGCCCCCATTTTTATTATTGTGGTGAGTGTTTGTCATTTCGAGTGGTCTGTGTGTGGCGTAGCTCAATGGCGCTAAAGAGGTGGTGTCGTTATAGGGCCGCTTATAAAAGAAAAGTTGTCCTAGCTGCAAAATCGTTGTCCAACGTTCAAGCTGGGCGGGACTTTTGAGTGGAGTGTCCCTGGATGGGCTGCAGTGTGGGAAGACAATCCGGGAACTTCAATTGCACGCTCTTTTAAGAAGTGCAGCATATCCAATGTGCTTGATGGCATTGAGGATCGCTCACTGTTTAAAGACGGCGACAAAGAAGTCACCGACAAAGGAAGCAGCAACGATCACTCTGAATGAGCGTGGTATCTTTCTGACGTAGCTAGAAACAACGCGAAAAATTGACAAAGGAACACACGCAACAGGACTTGTGGCTGTATGTTTCTCAAGTTATTTGCATCTTCAACCAACTGGTTTGTTTCATCTTCATGTTCAATAAATGTTTTCTCTTTGTGACCGCTGTCCTTACCGTTTCGTTTGACCTTCATTCAAGGTAAATTTGTTTTTTGTTTTTGTTTTCATGCTTCGGACTTTTGACTTAGAATCGGGGTTGGCCTAGGTTCGAGTAAATACGGTAATGGAGGATCCCTGGTGATAGTCACTGAAGACTTCAACGTTGATGTATTCCAACGCCAAAACCACTGGCTTGTCACATTTCTCTATACAGAACTTCGACTTCCCCTCCTTTGAGACGTCTTGCATTCAACTATTCACAACACCTGTTTAGATATTGTGAATATTGCATTACTCTAAATTCGGGCACAATCGACCAGATCCACTACATTTCATATGGTTCCTAAGTTTCCTAGCCTTACTTCGTGAAACAGCCAGATATGTTGCTATCGCATCTTTTGCTTTGGCCTTGTGCCGAAACTGTGGCTTTTCTTTTATTTACACAAAGCTCGAAAAGAAATTTGTGATGAGAGATTGGATGGCTCCCTCGAGCGACGATGCAATCACTTTGACCTGCATTTCAGTCAGCTGCAACACTTGAAACATTGCAGTAACAACAGTGAGCTAAACTTCTAGAACACTGTTGCTAGCCACACTGCTGTAGCATAGCCAAAGTGCTTTCAGGCTGGTTTGGCTGGAGACTTGGCTTGGCCGGAAGCTTTCAATGTTGCAAACTACAATTTAAAATCACTGCAGAAAGCGTCGCCGTCAAGCCTGTTGTCTGCCCGTGTCAACCCGGCAAAAGTGCACTTCATGTGCTCAATTTTGACAAAAAATGTCAGTGACTTTGTCCACTGTAGCCAATAGCTCGTTGTATCACAGTTCGTTAGAAGAGAACTTCACTGCATTGATTTAATGTACAAACTAAATTTGGCCCCAGCAATGGTTCCTTGTATCCGAAAGTCTGTTGTAGATGGGTTCATTATAATGAGCGTAGACTGTATACTGTTAGGAATATACCTTTACAGTAACGAATTTTTGTATATTATCATGTAACATGCAACTTTGTTATAATTAAATGTTAGTGTATTTGATTATCAACATCATCGACCTTTGTGCCAGAAGTTCCAGCAGTTTAGCTGTAGTTCATATGATTGCCACTTCTTCCTAGTGTGTATGTTTTGAGGTGATGGTTACATGTAGTCAATTCTTTCTTAGTATACCATGTTCTTGAGGCAACACCAGTGGCTTGCTTCAAGGTGCTTACAATTTGACATATAAGTAATTTATAATCCATTGACTGTAACCACTCTAGTACTGCAATCCAAAGAAGCGAAACGTTATGACTGCACTGAACGACAAGGCCTTTGATGGCTTTGAGTGTGGTTTCTTAGATGATGCTAATTTGTACATTGTTAAAGCAGTGGTATAACATTTTATTCTGCTAGAAATTGCAGCTTGTCAGGATTGTGCTTATGAAAGTTTAGTATTGGGGATATGGAACATCACGGCAAATTCATTGATGAACGCAGTGACGCCAAGTCATGCCTACTGAGTAAAAAAAATAGGAGCGTCTTGCAGATAAAGCAAGTGAGTTTGAGTGCTATGCTGCATATGCATATGCAAATAAATGAAATATCAGTTTTTGACGACACGCGTTTGGAGGAGTTTTGTGCCAGAAGTTCATGTGCTCACAAAATTTTTTTCGTATTCACAGCTAGTTGGTGTTTACACGCACATGTGTCACTATTTAAAAAATAATTGGGAACAAGGAGAGACGCAACTGACTTATGTGCAGTGTGCTGCTCAAGGCACTCTGGGAACGGCCACGGCACAGGGAGGCCATCCTCCAGGAGGCATCGCAGGCAGGTCGCCAGTTTGTGCGCTTCGTCAATATGTTGATGAACGACACCACCTTCCTGCTGGACGAGTCACTGGAGAGCCTCAAGCGGCTGCACCAGGCAGCGGCCACCGATTGGGACAGTTTGCCAGTGAACGAGCAGCAGGGGCGCCGCCGACAGCTGGCCCTGGACGAGCGCCAGTGTCGCTCCTACCTGACCCTGGCCAGGGAAACGGTGGACACACTTCACTACCTCACTGCGCACGTGCCTGAGCCCTTCCTACGACCGGTGAGCTTCGTCTTTTAGTGGCTTGCATCGTCAATGCCGAGTAGTTCATCGAGATTGAATGGCATACTAAGGGCAGTGTTTTCGGACATTGGAAGGAGATATTGTCGCACATCCATTTGTGCCTTGAAGCTCAGGAGCAAATCTGTGGGAAAGAGCTTTTTAGTCAATGAGGAAGTCATCTTGGTCAACGATTGAGCATCAATCCTGGGTTGAGATCGTCAAACAGGATAAATTTTCCATCAACTAAAGCACTTTCCTTAAAAAACATCTAGCTTTTGATTGCAGCTTTGTGATACAAACAAATGGATGGCCATTTTTTTTGGGATAGACATTCCTCGAGGTTGCAGGCTTCCACACAACTTGTTAGCCTTTTGATCTCATTGTGCAAAGCTTTTAACACCTTTCTTGCCTTGGGCAAGCTATTCGTTTTCTAACCATGAACACTTAGGTTTTAATCCACTGCTTTGCTTCGCTTATGGTTAGGTAGATGGGGGGCATGCAGTTTGTGGCACAGTGCAAGCACATGTAAGCCGATGGTGAAATTGTAGTAATCAAGACAATGCAGCAAATCAGTCTTCAGGTCAATGTGAGAACTTAGTCACGTGCAGGCTTGACAACAGCAGCCTGCTGGCTTGAGAAAGATTTTAGGCATTGCTTTATAGTGCAGTTTTAATCCGTTTTGGAATCAAGCAGCTTTGGGCTATGGACTCTGGAAAGGCTCAGTTAATGGCCCAATACGTTTATCGAACAGGCACACAGCATTCCGAAAATATGCTATTGTGCAACAAATGCCAGTCACTGCGAAAATATTCAAACTATAACCACAACCTTTGTCACTGTTAACTGGACTGTACAACTCAGCCTGGCCATCATAGAAGTGCTGGTGCGTTGGGCCGATTCTACTCTACTCTACTGCACACCCATAACAGCGAGTGAGTCCACTCTGATGCCCATGTTGTTTGGTCGTTTGTTGTGACCAAGAATGCCCTCACCAATCTTGGGGCTCACTTTGTAGTCCAATGTGCCAGTTGTTGCCTGTACAAGCAGGCTGTTGTAATGCCAACAAAGCTTTTAGGTCCGTAAGGCGTGTAGTGTATACCTATCTTGAAGGAGTACGGCCAATAGCGTGGGTTCGGTCTTAGCGAGCCGCAGGGCACGCGTTAACAGTCTCCATGATGAGAACTGCTGCTCAAGGTCGCAACACTTTATTGTCTGTGACAACACGAAAAACGCAGTACAGAGCCCGTTGCAAAGGCGCGGCGGGAACGTAGATGGGCTTATCCACGCCATGGGCAAGAGGTACAACACAGGGGCGCCGTGAGTACGTCTCTGTGGTAAAAGTGATTCACGGTGACAGCAGGACAAAGGCACGGTTGCTCGAGCGTGGGCAAAGGCGCTTGTGTTGGCTTCCGAGAGATGCGAGTCGGCGTAGTGTGGCAACGCACTAGGACACCGCATCACTCTTCGGCCTAGCGTTCGGAAGGGGGGGGGGGGGGAGGGGCACATAAGATAAGCGTTTGCCACCAGCGCAAGACGCTGTTGGCGAAGTCCGAACGAGCCCCAAACAAAGGATGCCGACGGACGGAAAAGAAAGCGTACTTACCTCCATGTAGTTCCCATAGAGGTCTCACTCACTCCCAACACGCGCGCGCGAAATGTTCCGAGAGATCCTGCGCGCGGCGCCACAGTCGACATCCGCTACCGGTTGAGGGGGGTTAAACGTCACTCCTCACTCCCCCAACGCAGCAGACAACGGAAGAGGGGAGTCATGTCGGGACATGAAAACGGCAAAAATAGACGGGAAAGCCCGCGCAAAGGTGGCGGGCTAGCCTCAATTCTCACAGGCGCAACGTAATCTACGGCTCCTTTATCTGGTGTGGCATTCAACAATTGACAGGGCACTTTGAAGGTAGCTTTTGCGAGCTTCCTTCTGAAGGGTGACAGGAACGCTCCTACAATGTAGTTTTTTTTTCCTGTGTTGAAGGTATGGAGGGCTGGCTGACACTTTCCTGCTCAGGTTCATGAATGAGCTACTTTGCATGCCCTCATTATGATAGCAGTACTGTAAAAAAAACAGGATGCAGCCAGGAGCATGGCAATGGACAAAAATGTGTGTGCTGGAGGCCCCCTTCGGCAGAGCGAGACACCCTTTCAGGCAGACGTCAACACATCCTTTCAGTGAACTGAAAGCGTGGGAATATACAACAGAGGAACAAAGAACCGCAGGAGGAGGGCTCCCAAACAACTGCTCCATTTACACGCTAGAAAGACACATTACGTGTGGGAACTAGGCAGCGAGACACGATCTTGAGTTTTGCAAAAGCATACTGCTGCAGGCTCTCTCCGGCTTTCTGTGTGAGAAAACCGTTTAATGACGCAATGCACGTGAAAAATAAATGCAAATTGAATGAAACAATACGTAACATGGTTCTCAACAAAAATACTTGGCAAATAATTATTTTTGATGGTTTTTCAACTAAACGTAGTGATGGGGTGCTGATGTGCCAGCAGGAATGGTCACGCAATGCTTTCTAAATGCGAAGCATTTCCCAGCAAACTTCGGGGACTTTGAGCGTATCTATCTATATCTATCTACCGCTTATGACTTTTAGCTCTCCTGGCCGCTTTGATAATGGTATCTATACTAAAATTGGTATGGTATAACATCACTGTATGGCAAGCATAAGTGACTTGTCATAACATGAGAATCATGACCTGAATTTCATGATTTACATTTCATGTACTTGCTACTTTTGCGGTGTTTTCGTTCACATGACATGTTGCAAAACTGGTACGGTATGACATAGCTGCATGGCAAAGACAAGTGACAGACCCTAGTGTGGCAATTATGACATGCATGTCATGTAAGAACATGACTGCACGCCATATCTTCATGATGTGCTCACAGCCATTTCGCTAGCTTCACATATACAAAATTTGTTATTACATGATGTGAATGAATGAAGAACGTATGTGACTGGTGCAAACATGATAATCATGACATGCATGTCATGTAAGTACATGACTACATGCCACACGCTCATGATGCACTCACAACCATATAGCTAGCTTCACATACAAAAAATTTGGTATAACGTAACATGAATAGACGAAGGTAAGTGACACATCCAAACATGATGATCATGACATACGTGTCATTTAAGGGGGGACGTGTCTTCCGGAACGAACTTTCTTGTTTTTGGTTAGATCTTGATGAAAATTGGCACAGAGACTAAGAATAACCTCATAATGCTTCCATAAAAATTTCAAGATGATATCGTGAAAACTTTCTGAGAAACAAATAATTTCATTACTGGACCTCGTGGAGCGGCTGGAGAGTTTAAAAAATGACATAGAAAGCTGGTAAACACTGTGTGCAGAGGTGAATGTATGCTGTAGGGGGCTGCGTTTTCAAAATAATTTTTTTGCAACACTAAAGTTTGTAGTTCATGTTTTCTCCACTGATACTTCAATGAGCACATTTGCACTACAAACAAGAAACCCTACCAAAAATTTTTAAAAGACTAAATTTTAAAAATAAGAACGCAGCCCCCTGAAGCATAGTTCAAGGAGCATTACAAAAAAAAAAAACTGAATCAAAATCTGTCAAGTAGTTGCGAAGATATCTGCTCCACGAGCTGAGCAACATGCCAAAAAAACAGTATTGAGAAAACGAGGTTCAAAGTCTTGAGTCACGGTTTACATGCCTAATAGGCACCAGGGTTGTAGTTGTGGTGCCTATTAGGCACCACAACTACAACCTAATAGCACCAGGGTTGGTGCTATTACATGCCTAATAGCACCACGACATGCCTAATAGCACTACATGCCTAATAGCACTACTACATGCCTAATAGCACCAGGGTTGTAGTTGTTGTGGCCCTGGTGCCTAATAGGCACCAGGGCCACGCGTCCCGATGTGGGACGCGTGGCCGCGTGTCATTCACGTCCCGTCGTACACCACCGTGACATTCTTGGTGGGTGTTCCCTCCATTTGGCTGTACACATTGCGAACGGCTGCAACAGCGTCGCAAAACACACGTGCCGCGGCTGCTGCGCCAGCAGGCCGAAATTCCCCCTTGAGATGCCTTTGAAAAGTCTTGTGGTGAATTCCCCTATGTGATACATTCATCACAGACCAAAAATCACTGAGTGCAGCTGATCCCTTTCCAATAGTTTTTATAGCTTGCATGGCCCGAATATTTACTTCAAATGACTTGCTGTTTTCCATTCGTGGCGACGACCACGCATTTTTCGCGTCCGCGTCGCAGGCAGTGCAGGTGAGCACCATCTTTACCGCTAACCCGTGCTTAGTTCCGTGCTTCATCTTGAGTCCCGGCTCTTTGCACTGCGGGCACAGGGCACTGCCAAACAGACCATTCAGGGCCGCGCGTTGCACAAGGAAAAACTCATCTTCGTCTTCCGTTTCGATGTCGCTCTCGTCCCCTTGGTCCATCAGTGACATCTTGCGCTCCGTCGCAGACACTGCTCTTAGGGACTCCTGAACAGCCGCGGCGCGTTCGCGAGATGCCTCCGCTGACACGAAACGAGGCTCTAATCGGGCCCAAATCGGGCTACTGGTGCGGCTGGTAGACGGCCTCGCATCCTCGCGCGAAGTACTTGGCTGAGCATCCGCGATGTCTACACCCTCGCGCGAAGTGCTAGGCTTAGCATCCGCGGCGTCTACATCCTCGCGCGAAGTGCTTGGCTGGGCATCTGCGATGAATACATCCTCGCGCGAAGTGCTAGACTTAGCATCTGCGATGTCTGCAGCCTGCGCGGAACGACGAACGGATGTTTCCTCAGACAGCACAAAGCACTGCTCCACAGGCATATGAACAGTTTCGTCGATGCTCGCGGACGATGCTCCGTGCGTGCTTGTGCTCGGCTGCGAGTCCTCGTCGTGCCGCACGCCGTCGTCGCTGCTCGCAGAAGTTGCCGGACTGAATTTCTTTTTCACGATCGGCAGCTTCGGCTTACGAGCACCAAATCGCTGCGCA